TAACTGAGCTAGCTTACCGTTAGTTAGTTAGTGGCTAAAGTACAAGTAAAGCTGTCTGTCCATCAGATAACTCTGTAATTCACAGAAAGTGGAAGAGCAGACATAGGATGTCAGAGGGTTTTACCACAAAATATTTTCTCTATAAAATATAATCTAAAATCCAATGTATAAAGAAATAAAGTTTGTGTACTGTAATCAGTGAGGCCTGGCCCCCCAGAAACACTGCACTCCTGTTCAGCATCTATGGTTTTTCCAACCTAGTTCTTGTTTTGTTTGTGGTCTGATAAATATAATAAACTTTATCAAATTGAGTGCCCCATAGAGCTATTTTCCATATGTCATTTAACACACAAGCAAGATGATGAGGCAGTGCTGACCACAAGCACTGGTTCCTGTCTAGTTTTGCATTAACAGACCTTTAGTGTTGTGCCAGAAGTTCCTGCCCCTCAACAGGCTTCCAGAAGTTGGCCAGTCAGAAGAAAGTGGTCTTTTAGGGAGGGGGGCCTTAAAGAGACAGGAGCTAAAATGACATGTTCAAACCGAGGGTGAATAGAGATGCTGCAGTAATTGACAGTATGAGAAAAATATATAATGTGTTTTTTGAACATTAAACCATGTCAGCATTTTCTAGTAGACACCCAAATTAAAAGTATGAATGTCAAAATTAGCATAATATGGGACCTTTTGATATATGCACAAATAGACATATTAAAATGTCAATTTATAGCCAGCAGCCAGTCATCTGCCTTTGAGGTTGCTAGGATTGGTACCATTGTGCATGCCTCATTGACTATATCTGGCAACCTGTGTTATAGCTGGAGACACTGCATAGAAAACCTGGGTGGCGTGTTTTTTTTTTCAAATAAATGTCTGTGCTGTTTGTTACATTTCTGTACAAATGAAACAAGGATACATCTTTATGCTAAGCTAGACTAATCACACTCTGAACCAAATGAAGTGTATTTCCCATGTTGAACTATTTTATTTGAATTACTTGAATAAAACAGAAGGTTTATATACAGTAGAGACCTAGATTTCTAAACAACAGCTGCTCTGAAATTTGCGCACTGTGTGTTGGGTGTCTGGAGTGGATCAGCATCATTAGCACACCCATACTGAGCAGATGTAATCTCTCTCTGTCATGCACGTCTAATTTTTAGCAGTGATCCTCTCTTGCGCCTTGAGGACACCCATATGCCTGTGACTGACTCTAAAGCCCCACAGTGCACTGAACTTAGACAACATGGCTGTGAGTGTCAAGTTGTCCATCTGTCCATCCGTATGGACGTTTGGCAGGGACAACACAGGAACCATGCCCTCGATGGCCTTGGGAGCCCACTGAGTTTCTCATTGAAGACTACTCTGGCAGTATTAAATGTCATGATGCTGTTGTTCAAATGTGAAGGGGTTGACCATCTCACTTGAAAAGAAGTGCCAGCAGGGGTCAGTTCAATTTCAATTCCATTCAGTGTAACAAAAGACTATTGCTAAAGTATCATCAAGAAAACAGAAAGGTACATTTCAGAAAATCAAGAAAATAATGAACTCTAGCCCTGTTTGTGTTTGTGAAAGAATGTGTGTTTAAGTTGTTATGTTTGTGGTGGTGATGGTGGTGTGTGTGTGTGTGTGTGTGTGTGTGTGTGTGTGTAAGGGGTAGAACATATCAATATTCCTGCACAACAGTACCTGATTGCCCTGATGTCTCTCACCTGTGCTTGGTTACCCTGCCTGCCTTGTGTGTGTTGTCCTGTGTCAGTATTTAAGCCCTCAGTTCTGTTCAGTCTGTGGATGTTTCTCAAATCTCTTAATTGCCTCCACATTTTTCTCGCTTGCGTCTTAGTCCCGCCCATGGGGGATTCATGGAGAGACGCAGGCTTTATTTTCCTTTGCTTGCTTCATTAGAGACTTTAGTGCAGTTTAGCGAATTGTCCAACTTATTAGGCTACGTGTTTACTATGTTTTATTGTCGTCCATTTGGACTAAACACAGGAATGATCACCAATGATCAACCTCTAAGTTTACCTGCCTGTGCACTCTGCAATCCTGACAACTTTAAACTGCATTTTCATGAAATGATCCTATGCATCGCAGTTGCTATGTGTTGTCAGTAGTTGTTGTCAGTAGTGTCATTGTCAGTGCTGTGAGAAGACATTCACCATCAAAGTTTCCCCACTGCCTGACATTTCCATCTCAGTGAATGCGAGAGCTGCTGAGTGAAGGGAGCCGTTCCATGCATTCAATATGATTTCTCCTTCTCAATATGATTCATCACTAAAATTCAGCACAGTAGAGAAATAGGGGGAAAAAACTAGATCATTGGCATTCAGGTGACTGATCAGTTTTGAAATTAGACAGAAATGGCTGAGATTGACATACAGTAGCTGTAAATCTTCTTATAAGTTTACATACAAAAACAAGGAGTCTTAAATGGGCACAAACTTCTGTATTGACTAAAATTTATGTCAGCTGCCAAGATACTGCTGATGGATTGGTGTAAAATAAAACATATGTTTTGACAGTCTGGTCATTTACCATCATCACAACTGGACCAACAAAAGAAAGTCAGCTAATACTAGGAAGCACTCCTACTTTCTATAATGTGGAAGGACCACCACACTGCAGGGACTGCAAAGACTCGTGATGCTCGGAGCAGCCATCTTGGATTTCGAGGTCAGGGGTGGTGAAGTTCTCCTAACTTTCTGAGTCGGAAATCTGACTTAAGGGGGCGTCACAACCCTGAACTCAAAATCCAAGATGAGAGTTGGATGATAATTCTCTCTTGCTACACATTTGATCCATTGTTAAATTGACCATATTGATTAGTGCAGCTTTAGGATCTAGAAAGAAGGCTTTTAACAAATGAGATCATGTGAAGATGTTTTAAGTGTAGTTTTAGACTGATGCATTAATGAAATACTGGGCATTTATAAACCACCATTCTTGCCTGCAGTGCTGCCCATCTGACCTGGAAGGAGTCAAATCTGAGTTGAGACATGGAATATGTGCAACAGCATTGGCCTTAAAAAGCATTCATCTGACAAACCCTATCCAGAACAAGGACATGTGACTCAGTACAGCCTTGAGATGAAGTGAAAGAGAAAAGAGAGAATGCACGTTTTCTTTTCTTTCTTTCAAACACAGGACAAGGTGTTGCTAAGAAACTGTCAGATTAGAAAGTGGATTTGATACTGGGAATGTCACTGACGCTCCGAGACGCCTAATATAGTGGATGCTCTAATGCACATTACAGGCTTTTTGAAATTGCCATGATAAAGCTGCTCTGCAGTCAGCTTTATTTATATGTGGACGTATTCAAAGCAATGCAATTAAAAAAGTCACCTTCACTTCTTTTGTTTGCCAAGTGCAACAGGTATACACAGAACTGACTTAATTCATGTTGGTACACTACAATACATGTTTTCTATTATGCAGGTTTGTGCAACACAAAACATTACAAGATCTCCTATTAGGGTTTGACTAGTCTTGGTTTATGAAAGACAGTGCTTGCATTAGATTTGTTACCATGTGAACATGTCAGACTGACTTATAAGTAAAATAAAGTGACTTGTGATTGATTATTATCAGGCTATTAGTACTTGAGTCAACATACTTTATTTTCACCCAATCATATTATTGTTTTTCATGTTGGAGATTTTTGCATTTCACCATCTTTAAAGTCACTGAGTCAAGGTTTGGTGCTTACACATCTGCAGTAGATGGATGTAGATGAGTAGCAGAAAGTAGATGCAAAGTACTTTTTCATTATGCTTAGGTTGTACTTATGCCTGTAGACATTTATTTGTTTCAGCTCTTTTTTTGGCTTTGAATTTGGTTGTGGAAAGGAACTTAAGAGTGCAGCTACTTCACCTCAGACATACAGGATCTCTGTGGTCTATACTCTGGCTGAAAGAAACAGGGGAGCATATTGTCCCAGTCATTCTACTCTCTATCATCCCGTTGTAATGTTTTACATAGATTAGCCGCTGCTGTTGTAGTCTGCCAGGACAGGCCACTGTGTGGATGAATGAGGTGTACAGTTTGATAGCTACTTTAGTCATGGCAATGATCAAAATGTAGCAAGGGCAATTATATAAACACAAGTAGCAAAACGTCTTCAACATTTGAGAATGGCTCATTTCATTGTGCAAAAATGTATGTGTCAAATCCTAAATTTAGTCTTCAAATAGCTGTGGATGTTGGAGAGCTTTGCACTCTGCAAATGAGATGTTTTTGTAGAATGCTTCAAAGAAGGGTTGCAGTCCTCCATAATTCCATAGAAATGTGCAACTTTACTTGTTTTCAGTATTTAGAATTACAGTAGTCATGATAGTCTGAAAGGAAAATATTAATAATAGCTGTCCTTTACGTTTTCCCTATGCATTTGTCTTCCCTGTTTTTTCTACCTGACACACCAGCCTAAGACAAACCTCCCATCCTTGACTTTTGCATCTGTGCAGTGACTCACCGCCTGATGATGTCACACCTCCTCAGTTGCCATGGTAATTATCATGGCAACCAGTGTCTAGGTTCCTGTAGCAGAGACGAGAGCAATTCTGATGAATAATCTAAAGGGGTTGATAGCTGGGTCTAATTATTTTCCTGTGGTAATTAGGAGCACTTCCAAAGCTCTTGCAGGATGATGAGTCCAGCTTTATTCCTGCCTGTGCTCTGGTGTTGGCTCAGATGTTCTGTGGTAACTAAGAAATCACTGTGAGTAGTAGGCTAAACGCCAAACCAAAACAACAAGTGATTCTCAGTGAGAGTATTGTAGGGGTGATGGTGGATAAACCCAGCTGACCCTATTTTATCCACCATTCCAAAAATGTCAAACTATTCCGTTAAAAAGCAACAACAACAAAAGAAAACTAGGAATGGATTGATTGTTTCTTTTGTAAAAATGTAAAATTACAATTTTGAACAGTTAGATTGAAAAAAATATGACTAGATAAAATCCGAGTATTTAAAAAAAAAGTTATTCTGTGTCGTGTCTTTCTTCACAGGATCTCATCTGTGCCCTCGGAGTTTAGACTGTGCCCGGGCAGGACGACACTTCTGCGAGCAGGGCAGCTCACACTGCGGCCCCTGCCTGCGCCCCCTGGTGGAGAACTCCCATGGCCGTTGTGTGGTCAAGAGGAGACATACTCTTCATTCAGCTCAAGCCACTAAAGGTAAGTAGTGAGCCCCCACTATGGCTAGATATGCAGTACAACTTTTCTGGCCTTTTACAGTTTAACAACTCATAATACACAATATTGAGTTAGTTTTTTTCAAAACACCATCAGCACAACAGAAGTCCATGGGCCCGATTTACTAACATTCCGAATAAAGAATACTAAATTGCGTGTGTTCATCCATTTTGTTGGAGAGAGTGGACATTCGCCAGGTGGAATAGTGTGAGCAGTTGAAACTCTGATGTTTAAGAGCTCTTTTCTTTTAAAAATTATCAGAGAGGTACAGCAGAAAACAGAATTAATAAACAAAAACACAAAAAGCACTATGGAGCTTAAACCAGAGGCTGCCGTCCTCCATGGCGCCATCTTCACTTCAAAATTGAAACTCAAGGATGGATTGTTGCCTTGGAACCTGTACATTTTAAAATTTTTATGTTGCTATACTCAACACACACCGATTTGCATGGTGCACCGGCATGAAGGTTCAAGATGTGATTGGCCCGATTCAAAAAGTGTGCATCAGTTACAATTTGGGATGAAATATGTATCGTTTCTAACATCTTTGAATCGGTAAAATCCTATGTACATGCGCTCATCTCTGCTGCTGCCAGTGGCAGACGCGGTTTGAGAGCCACCAGTGTGTCCCTGAGCAAGACACTACTCCCTAGTTGCTCCAAAGGCGTGCAACCTCTGACATAAAATAGCAATTGTAAGTCGCTTTGGATAAAAGCGTCAGCTAAATGAATATATGTAACGTAATGTAATGATGTGAGTAAATAAGGGTGAATCGTATTGTTCCGCATTGGTAGATGCTTCCTATGTATCTTTAATGTATTGACTCGTTGGCATTGCATCGAGATGCATATCGCATCGGCCTCAGTGATAGAGATGCACATCCCTACTATTCATAGTTTTCACGTGACGTCACATTCCAAGGAGAACGCTCCCTTGGAGGGCAAAAAAACCCATTAATTTCCACTGCCTGCCAACCAGGAAGCAAGTGATGGACTGCCAAAAATGTTTTTTGTGCTTTCGGATGCACTAATCGACAAGGAATGTAAATGTAAATGCTCCGTACTTGTATAGCGCCTTTCTAGTCTTTTCGACCACTCAAAGCGCTTTTACACTACATCTGCATTCACCAGTCACACACATTCATACACTGAGCCTAAGTGCTCAAACGGAAACTAGCATTCACACACATTCATACACTGGCGGAACAGCCACCAGGGGCAAATCAGGGTTCAGTATCTTGCCCAAGGACACTTCGACTCACAACCAGGGGGAGCCACAATTGAACTGCCGACCTTCCGATTAACGGCCAACCCGCTCTACCTCCTGAGCCACAGCCGCCCCATAATAAGGAGACAAGCCTGAGCTGTGTTAGGTGAGGGATTCCCCACAAAGTCAACGTAAACATTACCACAGTCGAGCGCTGGCAGGGACCTGGCGGTTTTTAACGGCGGAAATACGGCAGCGGGTGCTGTATATGGATCGCAAGTGCCCAACACTTGCAGTTTGTGTCCATATCTGTCTTTTTCTTGAGTTGAGAGGTGATCCAAAGAAAATTTAACGGCTTTTGCAGCGTCTCTACGAGGGAGTAAGGTGTGAGCTGCTATCTTGGTCTGTTGTTTTGTCCTTCCGGGTCACCGCGCATGTCACATGACTGAAAACTATGAATATATAGTTTGCATGTTAGCCTGTTGAACCTGGCATTATCGTGGCTATCGTGCCATATCAGAATCAGCTTTATTGCCAGGTATGTGTACACATATGAGGAATTTGACTCTGGATTGTACATTGCTCACTATGTGCTTACTCATACAAAAATACAAAATCACAATAATAAAAATAAAATAAATCAGACACAGACTTATATATATATATACACACACTATGAAGAAAAACAATATAGACATATTGACAAATAGTGCAGTGAGCAGAGTGCAAAGGATGCAGGAGTAGCACTGAAATAGAGAATGGTGAATAAATAATAAGTGTTAGCCAGTAAACAGGTGGCTGATTAGAGACAGAGTTACTGGGTTATTGCACAAGAATTGTTCCTGACACCGTGAGTCAGAAATCAGCTGTTCGTCAGAGTGATGGCTTGTGGGAAGAAACTGTTCCTGAGTCTGTTGGTTTTGTTGTACAGTGCTCTGTAGCGCCTACCAGAGGGGAGGAGCTGGAACAGGTTGTGTCCGGGGTGAGATGGATCTGCAGTGATGTTTCCTGCCTGTTTCCTGATTCAGGAAATGTATAAGTGCTGAATGGAGGGCAGGTTTGCACCGATGATCTTTTCTGCAGTCCTGACTGTCCGCTGTAGTCTGCTCCTGTCCTTTTTGGTAGCAGATCCAAACCAGACAGTGATGGACGTGCAGAGGACAGACTGGATGATGGCTGTGTAAAAGTGGATCAGCAGCTCCTTCGGCAGGTTGAGCTTCCTGAGTTGGCGCAGGAAGAACATCCTCTGCTGGGCCTTGTTGATGAATATGTAAATGTATCTGAAAGACCCGTGGTATACGTGAAAAACTAATGGTCATTTGCTTGGGAACGTTGTGTGATTATGATTAGCACCAAGCCTTCTAACATGCGCATACCCAAAAGCTATAGTGGCCCACTGGGCAGTGTGTGAAAGTCAAGCTGAGACTAATACAGACATTGTGATTCACAGATACACTTGTGTAATATTTGTATTAGTGACAATTCTGTGCTCCTTTTCCTTAATCCGGGGCACAATCCAGCAAGAAGTGATAATGAGCGGGAAAGCGAGGAGCAGTCTCTTAAATGGAGGGGAAAACATTTAAGGAGGTGACACCTTCAACAAAGCATGGCACTGTCAGAGCGATCAAGGTTTACTGAAAGAATTATACCAGCAATCACCTGCATAGGCCTGTAGGCGTGTTAATGTTAATGGCTGAGACGCCTTGTAAATGTTGTGCACACTCTGCCTACTCGGCACACTGCAGGCGTACACCAGCGTGGTAATGGTGCAGACCCACATACCGGCAATGATAACTAAACAGAAAAGAGCACGGAGCAGAAGGGGGTGCTAATAACAAAGACACCTGTGCCACAAAAAGCAACGTGAAAAAACACCCAAACGGCTACTCTGGTATTTGAATTGGCTTCAAATGAGGCTTAATGTTTACACAATTTGTCTTGACTGTACCTTAATGTTACAAACTCAACAATTCTCCAGTCAGCGTGTGGGCCTACAATAGATTCTACCCAAACAGAATGTGCTAACATCAAGTTCAACAGGCTGATATGCTAAATAAAAACAGTAAAGCACATGAAAAAGGGCAAAAGTTACAGGTTCCAAGTTTGAAGTGAATTTGAATTGTGAGAAGTGAATGTGAAAATATATGGAGAGTTGAATTTATAAATAATAATAATAATCCTTATTTGTAGAGCACTTTTCAAAAACAAGTTACAAAATGCTTTAACAAGTGTAAAGACAATAATACCCAAGACACAATAATACAAAAAACAATACAAGTATACAATACAAGATAAAAGCATGAAAACATTGAAAAGACTAAAATACAGATAAATATAAAATTAGTAAAATACAATAAAATAAAAGGGATAAAATAAAGTCAGATAAGATCGGGAAAGGCTCTCCTATAAAAGTATGTTTTAAGAAGGGACTAAAAGAGTTCACTGACTCAGCTGACCTGGTTTCCTCGGGCAGGCTGTTCCAGAGCCTCGGGACCCTGACAGCAAACGCTCTGTCCCCTTTAGTTTTCAGTCGTTCTTTGCCACAGGCTTAATGTGATTTACTAGCGAACCAGCAGATGGCAGTATTTGCTTTTCCATCTGCTGGGACCCGATGACCAGGATTTCTGTTTTGTCTGAGTTCAGCTGGAGGAAATTATTTGACATCCATTTTTTAACTTCACAAAGGCAGTTGTTAAGTGAACTCAGCATTCCAGGATCTGTGGATCTGACGGGCAAGTATATTTGTGTGTCATCAGAATAAATATGAAAAGAAATGCCATGTTTATGGATAATATGTCCAAGGGGAAGCAGATACAAGGAAAACAAAATGGGTCCTAAGACCGACCCCTGAGGCACACCATATTTAACTGGACAGAACGAGGAGACATAGTTGTTTACAGACACGCAAAACTTCCTAAATTTATAGTGCGGATTAAATACAGAGCAACTGAATTCAGTTTCATATTACATTCAATTTCAAGTTTTTTGGAATTTGATCCAAACTAATACATTCAATTTTAAATAATGCTATCAGATTCAGTTTTTCAATGCTATTTTTCAAGTTGTGCAATTCATGTTTAAATCATTTAGTATCTAGTGACACACATTTCTGCCCATATTTTCTACAGGACATTATGGGTTACCGAGATTTTCAACAGTACATTTTGCAACGGCTGCAGAACCCACACGGTCAATGTAGTTGTCCACGCAAGGAAGAGAAGAAGAGTCAGGTGTAGTGATCACAATGAATGTCTCCCACATTCACAAACTGACTGCATCATTGTTTACAACTCTATGGAGGTCCATGGGGAGGTTTAAATAAACTCTCTGGAGACATCTCTAGATCTGCAAACTAATTTCTCTGATAGTAACTTGCCAGACAAGACCAGAACGTATCACCTTCATGAATTGGTGTAAAGTAACAACAAGTAAGCCCTGGTCAGATGACCTAAAATACCTACTGGTGATACAAGGATAGAGCAGGTCAGATGGAGCACAGGTGCCTGACCATGTCAGTTAATATAATGTAACGTTAATCCTTAATGTGACAGAAAGCCCTTGTAAAGGCGATAGGGTGGGTGTGATGTGAGTCGACCTGCTGGACCTGGTCAACAGCCCTATCATTTGTAGACAGTTGACTTGCTGAGGCAGGTGAAGACGGAATTTGCAGTAGTCTGGCTGGGATTATATAAAAGCATGAATGAATGACTTTTGCTCAGGTTGTAAGACAACAGACCAGAGTTTGACAATGTTTCTTAAAGGGAAGAAACATGTACGTGTCAACAATTTGAAATATTGAAATGGCTATGCGCCAATATGTAGAGGCTTGTAGAGGCTGGATTACTGTATATAGGCTTTAGCGCCTTTCAACCCCAATTCCTTCACCACTCCGACAGAAAGGCTGGAGTCTCTGCCAAGCAGGACTTACCTGTCAGTCGTCTCACAGGCTAACTAACAGACTGACCAACTGACTCATGTCCTGACTGTCCTGCTGCCAGCTGAATGACCCACTACGGTGTACTGCACCTCATTAGTCATCCTCTCTTTGTTCCTCCTCCACTCTGCCACCTCTGGAATTTCTTGCTATTCTTTCTCCAGTGTCTTTTTTTTGCTCAAAGGTTTTCTGCTCAGGTCTGAATTGTTTCTAAAAGGACAGAAATACTATTTGGATATTTTCAAGGCAAGAGAAACCTCTATAAGCACACAAAAACGCAGTGAAAGGGTGTGTACACAATACCCTGTGTATTAGATCTGCAACGATTAATCAAATAGATCGTCATGTCATGAGTCTACAAACAGTCGAGCTGAGAAGGTGGAGGTGTGCAGCCTGTCGCCTGCAGCTCTTCCTCTAACAGCTCACTGTGGCTGCTCCTGATTACTCGCTGCAATATTTCAGCGGTCAGTGGTCCACTGTCAAAAAAAACTGTTGAAAATGACCGTCGTTAAATGACCGGTTTTCATTTTTGAATCCGGTGCTGACCCACTCCACTATCTTCCTCTTTCCCTGTCGTTGTCTTTTTTTACCCTCTATCTCCTCGTTGCTACCCACCCACTCTTTGAGCAGGGCCGAGTCCAACCTTAAAACCAAAGGTCAACATCTATCATGCTAAATGTTTCTAAACAAATAACAGTACATAAAGCATATCCAGAACATTTTCAAATTTCCCATCATTTTGTGTACATTTAAAAATAATGATCACAATATAATAAAAATCTGAGCCCTCTACTTATATGGGCCCCTCCCCGCATCCATGGCTATTCATTCTAGTATCTCTGTAAAATGAGTTCATAATTCCTTAAAGGGTAAAAATAAAGAAATAAAATTAAGAATAATCATAAGATGATTTCTCTTGTCATATTTTCTGTCAAAGTGAAACATTTAAATACAGTTCCCTACCAGTTCTATCAAATACACCCTACATTATGTACTTTATGTGCCAACTTTCTGATACATTCTCATCTTTGCAGTATATTTAAGCATTAGGATAATCAATTAAGGTTCATTTTGTTTTTAAACAATTTCATATTTGTGGATACACAATAATTCATAGTCCCAAAGACCTGTTTTGACCTGCAGTTTTCTTATGAAGACTTAAGCAGCGGAGGGAGCAGGTGGCCACCACGGGCCCACAGATTAAAGGGGCTTACTGAACATGTAATGTTGTTGTTTAGTTGAATATATTTAATACAGTTTATTTGTGTGTCATTGCTGCAAAAGAGTTTTGCGTTTTGCTATCAAGCCTGTTGTTTAGGCTATTGAGCTCAGGTGCGGTTCACTTATGACATGAAAGAAAAACAAACTAGCCACAGAATTTTATGATTCACACCCTTATCTTCCACTCATCATGTCCCTCCTGTTTTTGTTTTTGCTGCTACACGGGGTGGACATAGCGCAACAGTTATATTTATAACCATGAAAAGCAAGCTGAACCGTATCATGTTCCATATATCGATGTCCTCCACTCCTCCGTATTTTTGTTTTATCTAGAATGGCCCTAATACGCTATCATGCATTTTCCCATAACAGGTTAACAGTGTCAGGCATTGCCGAATGCAGAGGCAGGAAACTAGGTGGCTGGACACAAATGTAGACACAATCGACCAGGATGCAGTTCTAGTGATTTATTCCAAAACAAAACAGAAATACATAGGCTTACTCGCAACTGCAGCTCTAAACAGGGCCAATGATCAACAGAATAATCCAAAGACACCCAGAATGCAATAATGACTGAGGGCTAAAGACTGACACAGAAAAACAAAAGAACCAGGCAGGCAAAGCTGAGACACAGCAGGACAATCAGGGCAGACAGACAAGAAGCAGAGTCAGGGACAAGAGACAAATATTTTGAACCAAACAGGAAACAGGACTGACACCACACATGGAACAAATGCGAAACAAAACACAAACCAGGACATGACAAAAGAAAGAAAGAAATTACAGAAATTAAACCAGAAAACCAAAATCACAACATGCCCAAACAAGAACAAAACAGGAAATAACACTCAAGCCGTGACAAACACCTGTTAAATGCATGTACTTTGTCAGTTCATTAAGTCCCTTAAAGCGTTTGGGACAGCGATCCAATAGTAATAGGTCCAGAATCATTTCTGTACAAACTGCCTCTCTTCGTCCTGTCTCTAGATCATTATTCACAACATGCGGTCGATTTGCTGTCTAATAATACTAATAGGCTAATGCTTATAATGAATTATTTATTTGTGAGCTCTTTGTGACACCAAAGAAGTTAAATATGCCTACACATGAGAATCATTAACATTCTGCATAAACTGTCACTGATGATGCAGGATGACAATTACCAAAACTATCAACGAGTTACCCGTCAGTCTGTCCAACTTCATGTTTACTCCTTTTGGTTCGTTTGTAAAAAGTCAGTGTGAACAACACGTCTAGAGCTAAAATACAATAATTTATAATATTTTTCTCCTTGTCTTCTTCCAGACAAGATGAACCAAACTACAGGTGTGAATGCAGCGGGCAGCCTGTCTGCTGTATTATGGTTTCTTTCTCTGGTTGTCATAGCAATTGAAGTGTGAAAAAAAAGTGGCCACTGTATAAGGGCCCACTAGAAGTCCTCGCCGCTCTGCAATGAGCCATCAGCTCTGCGCCTGTTGATATATATGTGTTTCTGGGAGAACTACTAAACCACTAGCTTCTATGACAGAAAATCATTTTCCTGCTAAAGAAATCTGATGAAAGCAGATTGTGATGGCTGCTTGCCTTTTGATAGTCTTAACTGTCTTTACAGTTGGTCTCTTGCTGGTCAAAATGGTCAAAAAGCTAGCTAAATCATGCCTGTCAGTCTGTTTCACCCAACATTACCTACGTGCGGTTGACGAACTGATGGTAAAATATTTTTTTAGTCAGAGAAAGCTGATGCTCTGACCATAAAGGGGTACTTTACCAATTATACCAAAAGGACTCATGTCGCTCCATTACTCAGTGACCTCCACTGGCTCCCCGTGGCCTCCGGAATCAAATTCAAGTCACTAATGCTGCATACAGAGTGACTACTGGGTCTGCACCCATTTACCTAAACTTAATAATACAAGCTTACGTTCCTTTTGGCCACTTCGCTCTTCCAACGAACGCCACCGGGCTCTGCCATCCCACACAAAGCAATCCCCGTCCCTGTTCTCATCTGTGACCCCACGATGGTGGAACAAGCTACCACATTGGGGTTGTTTTTTATTCATTAACTTGCTTAAAATGCTCTAGGCTACATAATAGTCTCCAACCTTGATTTTGGTCAGGCTACTAACTCGTCACTAATCATAACCGTTTATGCAGAACATTGAGTTCAACATTTATAAAGTTTGTTGCAGCACGTCAAACTTTTTTTTGAATTTTCCCTGGTGTCTTCTGTCTTACTGATTCAGCTGCTGGTGGCGCATCTCGCTCTTGTTTTTTAGGAACGGTGCTGTTCAAGTGGCCAAAGAGCGATCGGCCAACCGGGTTAATCCGCCTATTGGTCGCCACTCGGACTATGTTTTGAACAATTAGCATTGAGTCTCCGGCGGGGTGGGAGATTACGGTCGGTTGTATTCGTTAATCATTTTCCGGTTTGCACGGATCTAATTTTTGGGGCGTGAACTTGAAGACTGAAATAGGCGCAAGGTAGATCCCTGCACATCACAGAAACCAATCACACTGCCTACGCACTGCCTGTCTAGTATTTTTGGCTATGCATTATAAATAAATACCTTCACCTACACTGTTAGCAAATAAACTTTTGGACAAACAGGATTTTCACATTGAAAAAAAAATCAAAATTCAAAATTTAATACCTTGGCGATTACGACTTTTAATACTTGGCCTTAATTTTCGCTAAATTGATTTATTACTTTTTAAGACCCCGCCAACACCCTGAAAATATACATGGCAACATCAGCTGTGATAATCTTCTTACTGCTCTGAGTACCGTTTCATCTCTTTTGAGGGTTGGAATAATGATGCAGTGTTTTGTTAAAGGCTGTGACAGATTCTGGTTTTGTGTCCCTCCAGGTAAGATGAGCACTTATCCTGAACTGGATGAGGAGATCGACATCCTCTCTGCCATCATCAGTGAACAGAGAACAGAGTCCAGGCCGCCAGGTACTTGATAGGTCCCGTATATTACATATAAATATACCCGTATATTAAGCACTATCCCTGCTGATGTAAAAACTGGATGAACCTTCCGTTCTTTACCTCAGCTCCACCATCCCAGGACATCTCTACACCCAAATCTAAGCAGCTCAGTGAGCCCAGCGGCGCCCACAGAGCATCTACAGCAGAGCAGCCCACGAGCCAGGACGTCCCGTTCACCAGTATGGCTCCAACCACCATCACCCCACACCACACCCCCACTTTGCTCAATGATCCCATCGTCCTCCCCTACCTCTCTAATGACCATGCCTTCATCAGTAAGTATTTTCTAGCTATGACTTTATTTCTTGTTGGAATTGTACTTCTTGAGCTTAAAGAAGAAAGTGTAGTTCTGACCTGAGCTCTGGGGGTGAGGGAGATTTATTTGGTTACTATATTTACACAACCAAAATTTAAAAAACAAAGATAAAAAGTAGGGCTGTCCCTGACTAAAGATTTACGTAGTAATCCGAATCGTCAAGTCCGGCCTATAGTCGAATCATGTGAAGTGAAGCTGGGGCTCCACTGCACACATTCACGCTACACCTACACATGCACACTGACGATCCAGGGTTAGGGTTAAAATTTTGGATTTACTTACGCACTTTCAAAATATTTATTGAAAGTTTTATTTTTTTTACATGTTTATTTACAGCATTAAACGTTGAAATGTATATTGTAATAGGCTGTATATTAACTTATTGGGAGAAAACTGGTAGTTCTATGTAAAATCAGACGTTGAGCACTGCTTATCGCCAAAATCGCAAGACAAAACATTAATGCGTTAAAAAATGAGAGTATGTTCTCTTTTAAATCAAACTTGTTAAGATATGGAACGTATTATTCTTGTAGCTGCATTTGTAAAAGTTATTTACTCAAATGTTGCTTAACCATGTCACGTGATGAGCTACCTAAGTACGCTTCAAGAACAAATAATACTGGGACCAAAAATTGCACAACAGATTTCAGGATTCATGATAGAGACTCTATTGTTGTTGTATACAAAATACAACAAAATGCAGAGCAAAACAATGAACTTAGCAGCTTTAAAATTGCATAAGCAATAAGCTATGATTTCTATAAAACAGAACACATCTTGTTCTCTGTCGCTTTTTATTTGTTAACATCTTGGCTTCCTCAATGGTTGTTGACACAAGTGTAGTTGTAATACACGTCTTTCAATCCGAGTGACATCGTTGCACAGCCTGGTGATTTTTTTTTTCTTTTCTTTTTTTATTCTTTATTTTTACAGGCATGTCATTAAGAAAAAGTTCTTATTTACAATGGCGACCTGACAAGTGGGGTAACCACTTAGGGAAAAAGAAATAGGGCTGAAAAAAATACAGTACATTAGAAATACATACAATTTTAGCAATTACATAAAATACAAATTAAAAACACAACAGATTGATCTTATCTAGGAAAGAAGTGCTGAGGTTAAAACCTTTAAGCAGCCTAGTCTGGATGGGGTCTAAGAGGCAGGTTGATGGTTTAGATGAAGAAATTATTGAAGTTAGTTGGTAAAGATTGAGGGAAGCAAAACAGTCTAAACATATTTCTGGTTTTACAGCTGTTTCTAAGGTTCCTGAGTTTAGAGATAAGTTGGTGCCAGTTGAGGGCAGGTCTTGGTGAATTTTGTTTCTAATAGTTAGAATTTTATCATTTAAGAAGCTCATGAAGTCGTAACTACTGAGAGCTATGGGAATACTTGGCTCAATAGAGCTGTGACTCTCTGTCAGCCTGGCTACAGTGCTGAAAAGAAACCTGGGGTTGTTCCTATTTTCCTCTATTAATGACGAGTAGTACGCTGCTCTGGCTCCTCAAGTTAAAGTAAAAGTCATCCAGTATAAACCTACTCTAGTAAAAGTACAAAAGTACCTGGTTTTAAAAAATACTTAAGTCATCAAAAGTACTACACATCAAAATCTATTGATCTTACAAAACACAATCTATATTTTATAAATTCCCTCAAGACAGGTTTGAATACAGTAATATAAGTTGTAGTGAATCACAATAAGGAAAACTGAGTCGCAAGAGGACGAGTGGATATTTCATATATATATGAGGAGGATAAGTCTGCGTTATTGCTCTGCTGTTGTAGTAGAATCCCCTCCAGACTGTCTGACAGACACAGAGGCTCATTTGGGACTTTGGGTATGTTAAGATGAGACAATGATGCGGAAACCATAACTAACTGAAACACTTCTCAATTCACACCATTCTCACCAAAAATCCACACATGTTAAATTCTCATAAAGTGCAGCTCACAGTCCCAAACAAAGCAAGGTTGGCTTCAGTTTTCAGATGTTTATATTGCAAAACTCTACCAGCTACGTTACCACTCGGTCACAAACTGGCTGTGACTCTCAGTGCAAAAACAGAGCTGCACAGTCACACCTGACACCACAATGCTCCCATGGCTGTGCTGGTACTGGCTGAGGCTGGATGTGGATCAGCTGTGCTTATAATGGCTGGCTGGCTGATGATCCAGCATCCTGGAGTAGAGTGTCAGTAGAGTTACTGACAAACTTAAGCAAAGCCCCTGTTAATTATAGATATTTTCTATATATTAACGTTATCAGCTGCATCAGGCCCATTCAAACTGGCTCCTCCAGGTTTCCTTCAAAACATTATATTATACTCAAAACAGTATTTTGCCCAGTCTGTCCAGCTAATCAACATTTTAATAGTCAATGTGAATCCACTGCTTCCCATTTTGCATTAGTCCAGAGTTGTAACTAAACTTCACTGTCTTGTTTTAAAATGATGTATGAGTGCCATCACATCTTGTCTGGAGTAGTCTGCACAGATGTTTCTTGTCTGAATGCGTGAGTTAAATTTCTTGCACTCGCATATGAACTCATTACCACGTGCAACGCGGTCATCTTTCTGAGCTACAGTTTATAAACACCGTGGCCTGCACTGCGTTAAACATAATAAATAGTTGTATTTCACTCAACATTGTTCAGTCAGTCTGGCAAGCAACCAAGACACAACAGACAAGAGCTGCGCTGCTCAGCTGTTCAGCAGGACAGACAGATTCACTGCAGCTGCACACTGCAGATGACACGTTTACCTGACTGCTGTTCCCACGCTTCACTCTCATTTAGTTTTTCTCTTCTCTTGCCTAAAAGGATAATCCCTCTTCATCCTCTCATCAAAGTTGTAAACATTTGCGTTCACCTTTGACAGGAAAGTGAGGGGGACCGTCCAGCTCTGCTCTGGACTATCACTGAATGCCGGTGTTGCATCAGCTGGCTGAAATTGATTTGTGCCAAGTCGGCTTCATCAGTTTACAATTGTTTTTCACTAATACACTGCATAATGTACTATTACCAATTGTTACGACCCAGTACGTTAAGGTAAGACAGTAACAAGTGATTTGGGATTGAAATGAAGGTGGCAAAAGGACACTTGAATTCTGGTTAAAGTCAAAGGTTTAATTAAAAGAGTTGACTCAAGAAAAATAAAACAAAAACAAAAAGAGGCTATATAGGTGCTGACAACAAAAAGGAGAAACAAAAGAGGGTCTTGTCCAGTTACAGTTACTCTGCTCAAAAAATACTAAAGAACAAAAGGAGGTCAGCACCTATAGCTTTACAATAATGCAAGGTGAACAAACAAGCAATGCTCAGACAAAAGAGCGCCCAACACTTGGTGCACTATCACACTATGTGATTTACAAAGGGTCAAACTGACTGAAACCACTTAGGCAACAGACAGAAACAGGAAATACAAACACTCTAGATATTCACTACCTAACAGAGGTACGCAACCAACAGCAAGGCAAACTGATCATTGGCTCTGACGCCCCGAACTGTGGACACACAACCTATTTGTAGTCCAGCTGGTGTTGATTGGAGAGTCCTGGCTGGCAGGGTCGGTCGAGTCACAGCCACACCAATCACAGACGCCAGAGAACAGCAACCAGGAAGTAGGCGGCCCCAGCTCCAGAGGAACCAATCCTCGACAGGGACTCGCACAGCTGGGATTTGCATGACAGCCAGAAGCACTCAGGAACACAATTACTTTAAGGCAGCCAGTGGCGGCCGTAACACAATGTAATGAGGTCTCGTGCATAACAACTAAAAATACTGAAGTAAAGTGAAGTTACTGAAAAAAACTACTTAGGTACAGTAAATAAGTATTTGTCCTTAGTTATTTTCCACCACTGCATACCAGAACGAGGTGGAGGGTGTGGTTGAAACAGTGAGTCAGTTTTTGAACACTCTGAGAGAAGCCAATTGAGCCACAGTTCTAAGGCTGTCATTCTCAACATCCACATGAATAAAAATCACCTTCAATAATAACTTTGTCCGTTTTAAGGACTAAACTTGACAAAAATTCTGCAAATTCAGATAGAATTTCAGAATATGGACCAGGAGTGTGGTAGACTATACCACATAGAATTGGCTGCAGTGTTTTCCAAGTTGGTTGTGGAAGACTAAGAAAAAGGCCCTCCTCTTGCCCTGGAGTTTGCATGTTCTCCCCTTATCTGCGTGGGTTCTCTCCGGGTGCTCCGCTCCTCCCATCATTCCTCCCCGCCTTTCGCCCGCTGTCGGGGGATTGGCTCCAGCCCCCCGCGACCACGGTTGACAATGGTCGCACGCTCCGAGCCTCTCTCGTACTACAGCAACAACACGGCAGCTCACTACATGCAGTCCACTAACACCATAAAACAACCGGCTCACAGCAAAACACAGGCTCCACGTAAAGATCCAAAACAACAATAAAGGTTTATGTGCTGAAGCCCATCAGACCAAACAGGTTCAGATGATGTTGAGTAAGAACAAAGTGAGCTTTAGTAAAGCTGGAGAAACACAGAGAAAGTCACGTTAGCTCGCTGG